ATATATAAGCAACGAAGCAACAAAAAATCAAGCATGCCGGTGCCGGATTTATGTTCTTTTTATTCGGTATGCAAGAGGATATGTAGGTTCATAGTTAAACGTAATTGTTGGTACTGATTCTCAACCGTCACTCGTGCTTTCACTGTATTTTTGGTGTGTTGAGTCTATTTTTTCTGTCCTGCATGGAGATTGGGTTGGGATAATGGCTTGTCAAGTTGCAAAGTGTACTTGCCTGAACAATGAATGACAGTGAGTGTTGTTTTAGCTGATTCCATAGTGCGCTGTTTATAAACACTACACTGTCTACATCCGCAGTTCTCAGAAATCCTGGATGTGGTCTTTTTGCGAGTCCAGCGACCACGTTTGGTGGTTCTTTGTATAGCTGTTGACATGCTGGCAGCTTCCTTGGCTACCACAGGTACGTCATACCAGATAAGCATTAGCGGATTGAAAGAATTCGAGAGGATCGATCGCGATAGATCTGTTCTACTTCTACTTGACTTGCATGGTTGTGACAAACACCCCAGTGACCGCAGAGCATTTGCACACGAATGACGAATGTTTTTAAATGCTGTACATCGTGTAGTCGTACTTCGCAGTTCGGTTCAAATAGTATTGGAATGCATTTCACGCATACATAGTATTATAATCGTCAGCATAGTTGTTCTCATAGCCGTAGTCATGTTTTAGTTTTCTACATGGCCTTGCGCCTTTGTTCTACCACATAATTTGGAATCCGTTGTGGAGACTATTTGTTCATTCCACACGCGCCATACCGGTACTATATCACGCAGGGCTGTTGATGGTAGGCTCGGGGGTGTTTGTGGTCATCTACTCGAGCAGTATGTTGTGGACAGCGCTTCTTTCCCGCTGTTTGACAGACAAACAGTTCTCTACACTGCAATGGGCGGGCATCGGCGTGCTGACATGCGGTCTACTTCTAAATGGCTTTGACTCTCAGCCGCACACCCCGCACACACCCACCGGTAGAACTGTCGAGGAGTTGTCCGACATGCAGCAGCTCGAGACCGATAGAAACGGAAACATCGGAGGGGCCGTAATCGGTGATGGATACAGCCAGGTAAACGTGGGGGTGTTGGTGGTACTCCTAGGCTCTGCTCTACATTCCTACTTCTTCGTGCTATCGGAGAGAATCATGTATCAGAGGATACTGAGTGACGCGCAATTGTGTGCGGGTGTGGGTCTAGCTGAGACTGTACTCTTCAGTGCTTACATAGCCTTCGTCTGTGGGTGTTTTGGCACACATGGTATGTAGTCCGTTCAGTTATGCCCGTAAACGGGTTTCTGATGGTTTCCGATGTGCAGGGGTGTGTACCATGATATGATCCGGTTTAGGTAGCGCTCATATTGTCTTGGCGCAGGTTCATTGTGCGGGTGCATACGAATCCCATGGTCTATCAGCTATATCATACCATTCACTTTGCAAGGGGCTCGTACATCATACTATGCTATCCGATTATATCCTACTAGCACGAAGAAGGCGTTCAGATGCTTTGTACTAGGTCTATATAGACGTATACGCCTCATCAGATCGGATTTTCCGCTTACGATAGTCGGTAATGAAGATCGTTTTGCAAGTTTACAGATGTATTCTCATCCTATGACAGTTTGATGTTGTCGGGTGGGAATGTCTATACGATGGCTGTCTACATAATGTTGTGTGCCTATGCATCAATGAAACAAATACATGATGAGTTCACTTTGAAAACATATAGATGCTCTACTGTATGCTCTACTGTATGCTCTACTGCATGCTTTCATATGATATCGACACCGGAATCTCTTCCGCCATGGTAAATTTAGGATATGAGTTCATCGTGTTTCTTTGAATTTTTCACCATTGTCCAATCTTACTGACTTGAATACGTGTCCGTAGTCTCGCCGTATATCACCGCATCCCTAGAAACTGACTCAGTACTTGTGCTCGGGACTGTCCATATTTCGCATTTGCCCCGATTCATTTATAATACGCAATGTACCATCACCGCCCTACCTATTCTTTCAGAGAAACTGTTCTCCTCCATGGACGATGCCAATACGTCGCTCGGATACGCGACTATGCTATGGTTGTCAGCCGCCGTCGTCAACTCAGTGCACGCAGGGAGCTTCTTCATAATCTTGGGTGAACTAGGTGCTGTAGAGAGCGCCTTGCTGAAGATTATCCAGACTGTGTGCGTGTTCGCATTCAGCGCTGTTTTTTTCTGCCAGTACGAGGTAGGTTCGTTGGCAAGGCAGTGGGCACGTGTATGCATTATGGGTATGGTATGTTGCTGTGGTAAGTTCTAGGTTTTAGTGATATCCATCTCAAGTGTGAATTTGATGTACCAATGTGTCTGATGGCGCCATGCCTTGAACAATACAAGGATTTTTTTTCAACACGTAAACAATCAACCATCCTCAGTTCTGTACGCAATAAACATATTAATAGCAAATGGTTTCTATCCGCACGCACATCATGTCACGCACCACCGCATGCGAGGTAACTCTAAACCCTACCGCGCTATCTGACTGGGACTGATTTTTGAGGCCGTTTTCAGTGGAGTTCGCGATACTAGTAGATTGTGATCTATTCATTTGTGATTTCAGTCGTCGCAGTGCGCCAGTCCGATGAAGTTCATGTCTATGCTTTTGGTCGCCTGTGGCTTAGTCGTATACGCCATGGGAGCTCGAGCAGGCAGACCTTCCAACACCAAAAAAAGCCCAAAATTACCCAGGCGGAATACGCGAACCGGCATAGAACTCGGCGTATCAGCGGATTCGCTGCACTGAATGCTAAAAAAAAATTCACTCAGCGGCATATTTCTTGCACATGTGGTTCGATGCCAGGCTGAGAATATATACTCTTAATTAAAATAAAAATACACATGTATACGTACAGAGCTCTTCTGAGCTATTCCTGATGCTTCGCAGAATGTAAGTGCACTTGGCATCTGCACCGATTCAGATGTTTGTTCATATAGAAGCTCTTTAGTGCCCCGGGAGTCATGCTCGAGTGCATCTAGGGCCGACAATCTGTGTCGATAGTGGGCGTTTGAGTGACTAATCATGAGAGTGCCGAGTATTCAGTACATAGAACGAGCTGCGCGTTTAGAGAAAGCGATGCCAACCTCAAATCGTGATACCTCCGGACACGGTCAGGATTGAAACACGTGCATAAGCATACTGGTAAATTTAGATTAAACTGCAATCTGTATAGTGCAGGGAAGCTTGGCTGACTCCTTTGGTGTTACATAAGCTTTTGGTCATTTTTAGATCCGATATCCGTCTGAAATTTAGTTCATCCAAGATAGGCACGGCTTTGATACTAAGAGGTTTAGAATTGACAAAGTGGCAGAATTACAAGGATATATTCAAATATCAATGAAGGAACGATGTAGAATTCAGAGGGCGACCAGGGTACCAGAGAGAAAGAAATTTAAACTCAGTGTACTAAATCAAAACAATCAATTTCATGTGAGCACGTTGTTTTCCAAGCTCACAAAAAAGGTCAAGTAGATTGCATGCTTGGTTCGGAATACTAGAAATGCTTGTCCCTAGAGAGGTTCTAGATGTAACCTTTAATAATACGATTACAGATTGAAGCATCGTACAACTGAATTTTGTTCTATGGGGCCACATAATCAGAACTACAAGTGTCTGGAACTATTTAATACTATAGCTATTTAATACTATAGTTGGTTCGCAATGTTTATGCTCCTGTGTGTTCCCAATCGAGCTACCTCGATGCGTTTTGTATCTCACTGCATCGCATCTTCATTGAAAAGGCAATATATATTTAGAGAGGTCGCCTTGATCAATTTATTGATCGTACGGGCCAGTCCCTTATTCCACGGCCAGTTGCGAGATGAAGCGATGTCACGCGCAACTTTCTGCCTTCAAAACAATACACAGAGCGCGGTTTGGACAATACATATATTTGTGACTAGGCTATGTGGCAGCAGTAGACTGTTCTTAATCTCGGAACTCGCTGTTTGGAAGTAAACAAGTTGTGCTCATATGACACACCAAAGTCAACTCAATTGTTCAAACCATTCTCTCGTCATTCCGAATGAACCCAATAACGTAATCATCATAGATTACCATATAATAGCCACAAATTGGGCGGCACTGGTTCTATCAGCTCTTCCAAGCTTTTAAAATCCAGCCTCGCAATCACACATGCACGTCTGCTGAACTGCGCCTCTCACTTGCAGTTCAAAAACCAGCCGGCTCAGATACTAACATCTATGTTGATGCTATCTTCAAAGCACAAATCAGTCTTTCTAGCCAAGATGCAGCTCACCTACCGCTCGTGCGCTTGCCTCTAGTAGACCTATACTTCTCAATAGCCGTTTCCCACCACCCCATACCCCAGAAGTGCCTGTCACCAAACATGGGAGCGTTAACAGTGTTGCTACGCCGCTGTGCACGTTGCTTGGTGATGACTTGGCTAAGTTGCTGAGAATAGCCTGAATAGGATGCTTCATCCCCAAAATCATCCGTATATGCGTGCATCGTGCTTTTCTCATGCCCTAGTGTTTGGCCCTTTGAGTGTTTGTGAACGTCCAATATCTCGTCCACATTGGTGTGAGTTCGAGTGGAGCACTTGGTATACAATTCATGACCAGATATCGCGAATGCACGCTTAAACATACCTGCCGCACCCTCTATCTCATTAGATGCAGCACACGTACCTGATTGCATACAATTTTGTGTGTGTGTACTAATCCCGTCCATTGCACGTGGTTTGTGCGCCAGAGATAGATACGGTACAGTTTGCATCTCTTGTAGGCGTGAAAGGGCCCTTTGGGCACAGAGCCTGTCTGCATCGCTGCGGGTCTCTCCGTAATTCACAAGTAGTAAGTGCTCGTTAGACTGTTCTGCCAGTACCACTAGCTTCGCCTTGGTTTCGTACATAGCATCTAGTAGTGTGATGAACCTCCGCAGCTCATTGCTCCGGCTAATACCCGTCAGTATGGGTATGTGCTCTATAAATATGGTGTGGAAATTCCTACACAACTCCACGTAGTCGTGACCGCCCAGGGGAGCTGCACACAACTCCGCGAATGTAAACTTAGCAGTTCCATGACACGAGAATGGGACCTTCACATTGCGGCCCAGCACGCGTACGTTGTCCGTATGTGTGCGCATATGCGCCTCATCAGTCGGACAACATGATGGCGTGCATGCCCTCAGCTGTTGAGCAAATCCAAATTCTTCTCCTCCTTTTGTGCTTTGGAAGTATGTTTGTGGTATCGCCTGCGCGTCTGCATGTGTTTGGGTATGTATAAAACCGGTCGTATGTGGGTCCAAGCCAACTTCCACTCCACTATGGCCTTGCGCAGTGCTACTCAACTCTTTCTTACCGAACACCTTCCTGTACTGCAATTCCCTATAGTCCAGAGTCGACTGCATGTCATGCACCTCACAATTTGCCAAGATATTACTGGGTAAACTTGCTAATACATGATCTCTACCGCTATCTCTCACCCCGTGCAACATATCCGGTGGCCGGTTGCTAGTAGCAACCAACACAACACCGTTCTGAAACAGGATATCAAACACCGTCGACAGCAGAGACGCCGTAACAGCATCGGCCACCTGCACTTCGTCAAAGCATATCAACCAAGCATCGTGCATAAGCCACTGTGCAACACTGGTGAGTGCCCCGAGACGGCTTCGTGGTGCACTCTCGTATGTGGTGCCGAGTGTATTTGACTTGGTGTGGGTGTGCAAGTCTGCATACACGCGTTGCATAAAGGTGTGGAAATGTATCCGCTTCTTACGCGTCACAGGCACAAGGTCATAGAAAGTGTCCATTAAAAGAGACTTACCACAGCCCACTCCGCCGTACAGATACAGCCCTTTGGGTGCGTTGTGGTCCACTTTCTTCAGCCGTACGGCTTTAATTAGCAGATAATCGGCTTCTCTGGTCTCTCTTTGACCCAACCGTATACCCGTTCGCCTATCGTTAGGTGCATGTTTGTGCGTCGTGGCACTGGCCTGTGGTCTAGTACTAGTCTCGGTATGGTCTGTGCCCTTCTCCGCATCTTGCACACTCAGCACACACATACCCCTGGTCAATTGCAGGATATTCTCCCCACCTCTACACCGGAACGTCACCACTTCCTCCTCTGGCCACCCAGGAGGTGTGTAAGTCTGCACACGAGTGAGCAAGGTATCCAGATGTGGGATTACTGCTGCTTGCATAGCATCACTTTGTAACTCACCACGACGGATTCGTGCGGTATAGCTTTCTAATACACTTTTTGACGGCGCGGTAGGCTTGGCATCTGCGTTGGCTGTAGGTGTAGATGTATGTGTAGGTGCGATACCTTGGGCGAGGATAGTCAAGGGTGATAGCCTTGACCTAATCGCGGTGCAAAGCCCCCTCCCGCGCGTCCTAAGGTGAGAGCTCATAGTGTGAGTATGAAAGTTAACGTACAGTCTCATAATAATAGCAGGGCATAACTATAGATCAATCCTAACATCTACGCCACTAAACGACACACAAGCAGGCTACAGTATGTATATGTGGTTGCTGTTAGGAACACATACATGTAATAGCGACAGCGATACTGTCTCCTTATAAATACATAATCTGTTGTTGTGCTGGGAAACAGTTCGCGAGTACAACATAAGGCACTAACGCATATGTACAGATTTCATACTGATTTTAACGTCTTTTAACATTTACGTAAGTCATCATCATTAACGCATATTTTTAGCAGCTGGTTAAATATGGGCATATTGATGTTTCGGCGGGCTTTCGATGTCACGTATTTCATACCACGGCATTACACGCCTAAATACCGCTCGAGTGTATTTAGTATATTACTTAAAATACACTACAATAGATATACTCGAGTGTAGTAGTAAGTGTGGGGCCACACGTAAGTCCACGTGTTTGTTCAACTACATAGATATATTCATAAGCACCGTTCGAGTGTAGTAATAGCACACGTAAGTCGACGTGTTAGTTCACCTGCGATAGACCGGACAGACCGATGCGACACTAACACAATCTGAGTACTAAAACTTGATGCACGTCGACAGCTAAGCCAAGGAATACGACACACATTTCTTGATGCAGTATGTCGTTCGCGCCCAAATCTTTAGAGATTGATCCGGATTTGGCGAAGAAGCTTTTCGAGGAAGGTGTGTAGTACAAATTACTAATCGTGCAAATAGTCGATAATACCTACAAACTAGATATACGGTCAATTCTATGCTGCCGAGAACTTCTCACAAAGCATCGAACACTCCATCTTTGTTTTCTGGGTACGCTTTCGTCGTCCTCTATCACATGGCCAATGCTTGCTATACACTTTATGTCATACTCATTTGAACGGTAATTGTATTCTGTTGGTTCACTTTTTCGATGTGATGTGAGCGATATCAGCTACTGATAGTATGTCGATCCCATCTGAACACTATAAGGGCGACTATAAGATTACGGTACTGAGATTTTAAACGTCAACAATACGGATGTTTTATGTAAATAGCCGTGCAACTCACATAAAGTTTCAACCAAACTTGTGCGGATGAATTTGCACAGATGAACGCTGTCATGCAAATATAACGTTTTGTACCCACTCAAACGAGCTATTAGCGGGGATCTTAAACTCCAGAGTGGTTTGCAATAATTGCTTGATACTATCTCCGCCCCTTATTATGTAACTAATGTGTACACTAATAGCAGTACTTGATCTTCCAGCAAAATATAGTACAGATCATAGCGTATCGGACATAAATATGTGCCCAAAATGGTATATTTTTCTTGTCTTTAGCAGTTATGTTAGCTGTGGGCACTGTACTGCTTGGAAAAGCCAACAACAAATACAATCTATTGGCTAGTCAGAAAATAACGCCACGTGCAGAAACGCTCGGATTTGGGTTTAGAATAAAATACCCGCTGCATGCTCACTTAATCTGGTAGAGCCGCGCGTGTGTCCTGAGTTATTTTTGACTGCTAGTCACGTGTGAGATTCTTCATGTTGATATCACACTGAATTTCGCTACAGGTGGGAAAATACTAGCACTAGACGTTCCGGCAGGCACGGAGTTCGGATTAGATTACAAATCATGGACTGTTGGAGACAGGTTTAAAGGCGTCAAATTTCTGCCTCACGGTATCCACATGGCTTACTATAGGTATATCAATATTCTGTATTCTACAAAGGTATTCGTTTACGTGTGTTGTATACCTGTTATGCAGATGCGAATGTGCAAATTGTGAAAACAGACATGCATGTCACCAGAAGACAAAGCCAACGATATAGACGCATACACATGCATGTAGTATGTAGGCGTCGTATCGAGCATTTCCCTGCACAACAAATGTGCAGTTCAGCAATCCTTGGTAAGAACATAAGACTAACGTATCTTATTTCTCATTTACCACCATAGCTCGATATCGAAGTCAACGCGTGATGTCGGTCCCCGGACCGCGTTTTTCTTCTTCACACAGGGACCTGAAGTTGTAGTAAGGAAATGGGACTGCGACTCAGAAGACCTTGTGGAGGAATCAGACGCACCGCAGAGAGAGCGATTGGCAATGGGTGTGTGGGAGAAACAGTTGGCGCGTGCAGTAAATATGTCGCTGCGAGAGCAGCTATAGTATTTTACGGTAGTTATCTAATGTTGGGGAGAATGCTTGGCCGTTAGAATAGGCATTGGGGGCGCTCATATACACACATTTAAGGCGATCGTATACAAATGATCTTGTATTGTACTACTAATCAGTAGCTACTGGCACTAGGCGAGAACCTTTTGGCAACGCGCAGTTCATAGCAAACTCGATCCGACGGTCATTGACCTGGCTAACTATACCACTTTTCCTTTACAAACAGCAATCAGGGAGTTTGACCCATTTCTGGGTACGTATCCGCTCGAGTCATATACTACATGGCACAATTTAACCCATTTCGTAACTCCTGCGGTTGTTCAACGTCATCAACCGCTGGACGGGAAGGTAAGGGGTGTTGCGCTATGTATAAAATGTATTGAGCACATTTATGCTCTCTTCACTCGCCTTTCAGAAGTACATCCTTGGATATAAATAGCTTGTATTTTTTGCAATGGGGTTTTGCGTGCACAGCAGATGTAAGTGGCTCACTTGGTGTCCTTGTTGAAGATACTGCTAGCTATTAAGATACGATAAATGAAACTTGTTGTTGGCTGAATTTCATAATACGAGTGTTTTGAAAATTCGATCACAAAGAAATCATCAAAGCAAAGGTATCATCGAGGGCATTGTTAGAAGACGTCTGCATTCAAAAGAATATTCAGTGAAGTGGGTATCTCGCAAAGGAGTTCCAATTGCTGCGTGTGCATTTGTGGACAATTTATTGGAACTAGTGGACACTCCAGGGGGCCGGGGTTGTTTGTGTCATCCAGGGGTGTCTTGCGGCTGCACCCCTAATTGCCCTTATTTCTATTGTTGTGATTTACTTCTGCCTTGTAGCACTTAAAGTGTTAGATGGGTGTGATTCAAACATCGAATGAACCGGCCCCACCTTGTTCAGAGACTTACACTGTGACTACGTACGTTCACTTACATTATTTGATGTATGGTATCATGTATCAGCTCAGCTCCGTCAATACGCAATCCAGCCTTGTTGACATGGATGCAGACAAAGTACAGGAAGAACCGGTCCTCCCTGAAGCAATGCTAGTCATGCCCGAGTCTGCGTTTAGATTCACAGAGATACCGAGGTACGCGTACCCAATTTGTCATACCAAACAATCATTCTGGGCCATGAAATATCAGGCAGCTACATTAACATGTATATGTGTGGTGTCCACCACTGCATACTTCGGGATACTAGTTTGCACATCCATATATCTTGCGCAACGTATAATACACTATACACACTCATCCGACTCTCTGACGTACCGTGAATCACAATGTACGTTCCGACCCTCTGACGTACCGTAACGTACCGTAAAGCACCATGTACGTCCTTGTGCCTCTTATGGTTTTTTTTGATAAGTCGACGTAATGTTTTTGAGGGCTATAAGTCCAAATACGATACTAGTATTATTCTGAAATTATTGTCTATGATCGCGATGATGCTATTTTTCTCTCTCCAAAATTTGGAACAGAAAGTGGCATCCTTCAAACGCGACCAGCAATGCTGTTACTCAATCGTACATGGATAAGACTGGCTTGTTGAAGCATCTACTTTCGAATGAGTATGCGAACAGTATGTTAAGAATCTTATACTTCTTGAAGGACTCAAGTTCGGGCATTGAAAAGTGTACCTCTTGTGGGATTTCTAGCAATTTTTAGATACACACTAATTGTCATGGTTTTCGTTTCATTTGAGGACCAACATGGTTCTTTTAAGTTGATGGAGTCACGTCACTTGATTTATCTTGGTCTATTGCGTGAGTGGTAATGGTCTGTCAGTGACTATTCCGACAGCTAACTGCTTGAATTAGGGTGAGATAGAGCCATCCCAACCTCATTTTACCAGAGGACATCCTGGAATTTCACTGCATGCTGTATACAACGTTTTGTTTTGGCAATCTCAATCGGTATTGAACTCATTACATGTGCGACAGCTTCTTTTGAACTCTTATCACAGCTGATCTGATATAATGTAGTCACGAAATTTTCCTCTGACTTGTACGACTTTGCAAGCGCGTATCTGCTGTGCGTACCACCAACATGCATCAGCACTTCTGAAATACATACAGGTGCATCATCTAATATACAACCCAATTCCCTGCTAGATTACAAGGCGCTTCTAGGTGAGCTGCAATTTGCCTTCGTGAGTTTTTTGGTCGGCCAATGCTTCGACGCTTTTGAGCATTGGAAGACAATGGTGCACCTTTTATCCTGGTGTGACTCGGCGTACGTGGAGATGCCTAACTTATTTTGCGACTTCGTTGGTATGTTTTAATATGAGAAATATCTACCCGGAATATTGAAGGAAGGCCTGTTTTTTTCACGGCACTGTGTGGGAGGTTACTATCTATGAACCGAGAGCACGCTGCAGTACTTAGCATGACTTTGCGATGAAAAGCCTCAATTTTGGACGCCAGTTAATGTTAGTGTTGATGTTACAGATAAGATGTTATGAGTGGTGTTTTCTCAAAGCGGTATGAGCACTAACTCGCTTCAATTCTTGCAGCCACTCTACACTGGCAATTAAAGGAAACACCAGAGGATTTCTTCATCGACATTATCTCGAAGAATAATTTCTTGTGCACGACATTACAGGTGCGTTCTATTGCGTCAAAATAGTTGCGAAATGACTTCAATGGCTGCGTTCGACCTCTGTTTGAGCTAATAGTGTTCGTGCGCGAGCATTTGAGGCATTCGCGTGTTAGCGTGTAGCTTTACCACGACAACGCTATATGGGACAGGGTACAAATGTGAAAACAAAATCAAGATTTGCATGACGGCGATTACGCACTATAGCTTCGGCTACACCACGGTTTGGGATAACTGTATTGAATTGTATGATTGAAACAGTAATTGTTTGTCATCATGCCTAGTGCCACTCAAGAGAATCCTTCGTGCTGCGGCAGACGCACGGGCACGGTATATATACAATTCGTGTTTTAGTAATATTCTATAGGAGATAATTTGTCGGGTCGCTTACAGTAGAGATGTGCAAGTAATCGACAGAAAGGTTAGGTTGGTTGTTATCGCTGCATTTCATAGCTGCGTACTTATCCTACTACTACCTTGCTCACCTTCTGACCACTACGAATGTAGCGGTTTTTCTCTGGTGTGGCGGACGCAGAAGGGGTCAGTACCGAGCTCACCTACCGTGTGGAGCGGTTTAGATTATTTGTCTCGGATCGGTTTCAATGGGACTTCGAACTAGAAGACGACGATGACCTCCCGGTAGTGGTAGAAATGTGATCTTCCATGCGCTGCTTACAGATCTTGTATGCTCTAGAGCCGGCTGTGAAGGTAGATAGGGGACTAGAAACTTTCTTATTCGTGCGTCACAGAACGACATGTTTTCAACACTTTACTGATAGCACTGAGGTAGTAAGAGTTGGCCAGGTTGTGATGTACAGTGTACAGGGTGCAATCGATTTCTTGTCAAAGAGTGGGTATTGGCGACATGTGCACAATCCGACCATTTTGTTACAGCACTGGAGGGCAAAAATTCGTGCGGACTTGGTTTACAAGAAGATTCGCATCGCATTCCCAGTTCGTATCGAATCGCACGTGGTTCTCTCAAGGTATGCACATCACTGGATGACTTGCCTTTTACAACGCGGGTGGTCATCTTATCACTGATGTACATTTTACGTGCTTGCGTATGACGCCATACACGCGCATTTCAACACGAACGTTTAATGCAATGGGTGTGAGTACGGCAACGCACGTGAACCTCACCAAATATGCGGTGATACTACGTGTGGTGGTCGATAGTAGGCTGTGCGACTTGTGTGTTTGGGTTTGGGCCATCCATACTAGGAGGTTACCTACCTACAGCGCAAGCGCAACACCATCATGGTCATGGTGTATATGTATCATTCACCATATAGGCAGGTCTGCCAAGTAGGCGATTGAACGGAGTTTAACGCCAACGACCGTGTCAATGAACCTGAAGTGAAGAGATTTGTCTCTTAACCATTGCATGCAGGGCATGCAGGTTATAAACATTCGTGTTCGTACTATCAGGTGCGCTGTAGTGGTGGTCTGTGACGAGTGAGCACGATCGCAATTAAGTGAATGTCGCAAAATGAACTTTATTTATGCGCATTGTGCAATCAATCGTTCGCCACAGCACTTGGTCGACAGGTACAGTTCTCTGGGGTTGTATCCAAGTAACAGATGTGGGATGAGATATGCAGATAGAAAGCTCGGATATTAACAGTAATATTTGACTAGAAAAGTACATGCCGGCCTGATACCAAAATCGATAGGTTTTATCAATTTACCATGTATGTAAATATATAAAGACGACAATATACTCTTTAACATCGAGAAAGAATCATGAAGAGTGACTACTTGTGCATCATTGCAACATGATCAATTCCGCATCAGATTTGTCCTTTTTATATTAACACAGTCCTGCTACCACGGGTATGACCATGTATTTCCATACTGACAGTGGTGTTGCTATGAAATAGCCTCCATCAATATAAATGTATTGCCAATTGTGCGCTCCCAGTGAAAACTCGGGATGCTCCTTGTAAGAATTGAATGCAGACTATCTAAATTGATTTCCTGCAGTCGTATATATGCATTTTACAATCACAAGCGCCATGTCCAGCATGTGCTGCAGTGATGAAACATAAGATGCGGGGCATATTAAGATCCAGATCCATAGATCTCATTTTCTAAATTGTACTCTCACACATAAATCAGTTGCAGTTGTGATTGAGCAGCTGGCCACACTTCTATAATTCGGTGGTTGACCTGTAGTATTCTGCAAATGGCGCTTGCTGTAGTTTGACACCCGGAGCCAGTCCGGTTGTTCGCTGCTGTCTACGCCTTCTTACAGATGTTGCACCTAAGAAGGTACAACATGTCTCAGATGTCATCATGTCGACAAGAACTTTCCCACTGAGGACATATTCTTGGTAAACTCATGATCTATTAGACGGGCACGGCCTTAATGTAAACGAGCACGCCACTATTATTATTTTTTGGTCAATACGAATGTGTCCTTTCATATGGGCATGTATTGTACCAAAAATTGCTCCAGAGGTGCTGCATTGAATTTCGCATCAATCTGCACAGTTGAAGCAAGTCCATCCAGAGTATCATCCGCCAAACTCGTCAATTGATTGTAGCCGAAATACAGTTTGGTGAGGGAGGTCAAGCCCGAAAATACCCCCGCCGGTAATTCATCTAGCAGGTTGTGTTGCAGAAACAATTTGTTCAGAGACTCCAATCTTGAAAAAACAGTCGCGGGTAGAGTTTGAAGCCGGTTGTTGTTCAGTTGCAATTTCGTTAGCACGGTCAAGCTCATGAATACATCCTCCAGCAGGTGTGTCAGATTATTATATTCGAGATTCAACACCTCAAGCCATTTTAGTCCAGAAAACACTCCCTCAGGCAGCTCACTGAGATAGTTGCCTTGTAACTCGAGCATTTCTAAGTTATACAGCCCGCGAAAAACCCACTGCGACATAACTGTTATATTCGACGAAGCCATGTACAACTTCCGCAGTTCAAAACAGTCCTCAAACAATCCCTCACTCAAACCCGCTCCAAATCTATTCATTTCTAAATGCAAATACACCACTCTTCGTAGACCACCAAAAACACCCACTTCCAGCTCACTTAGCCTATTGTCGCGCAAGTCAAGAGTTTGCAGGTTTGGCGTGCCCGCAAATATCCCTATTGGTAACACAACCAGTTGATTCTCCTCCAAGTCTAAAGTTTCCAATGCAGTCAAGTTTGCAAACAATTTCACTGGAAGCTGGCTAAGAAGATTTTTCTCGAGATCCAACACTGTAAGAGAGGCGAGACCCGAGAATATTAGATCATCCAGATGACTGATTTGATTAAACGGCAGCAGCAGCATGTGCAGATTAGGCAAGCCAGCAAAGGCGGCCGATGCAAGAACGGAGATCTGATTACTGTCAAGATTCAACTTGGTAAGGGAGTACATTCCCGCAAATGCATTGTCCGGTAAACCGGTGAGATTGTTCCTCTGCAACAGTAAATTCTCCAGTGACTCCAGTCCGTCAAACACGCCTGCCTGTAGATACATGATTTGGTTGGCTTCCAAATCCAACGTGCGCAGGGCAGTAAGGTCACTAAACGCAGACATCTCCAGTTGCGAGATCGAGTTTCCTTCAAGATTGAGAACCTCTACGCCAGAAAGATTAGTCCATACTCCGGGTGAGAAGCTTTCGATGCCACTGAAAGATAGATCCCTGAAGTGGCCAAGCGTGGGCGTGCGGTCACAAATGAGAATGAATAATACCAAACTTAGTTGAATGAATTTGCTGCAACTGAAGAGCAGATGTCCCATTTGAATACCACTGTTCTGTTATTGGAACACATATTGATGTAGGCATGTCTAGGTACAGAAATGAGAGAACAACCAATGAGACAAATGCTACTCAAACAAACACTGGAAAATTAATCAGAGATAAACAGAAGCAGACATCTAAAACGGGGTTGGAACAGCCCGAGTAACCAAACTTGTAGCAATACTCGTCCTCCCGTCCTTAAATAAACTAGCCTAATATCCTAGTACAAACAATAAGCAATTAATGTACATATTCACTCACTTGTTTTATATACTAGTATAATCTGATACATGTTTTTGACCGTGCAATACCTCCATACATAGGAGATTATGTTAATTACCCACAGAATACATACTACATCAACTGTGCGCATTAATGAATATATTCAACATGAGTTTTTTACAACGTGTTTCTTTTTCTTTGAATATAAATATACGAACAATCAAGCAGACTGTATGCAAACCTTATGGCCCAGAAAAAAACAACAAACTCATTACCAAGAAAACGCTCAAGTACATATATATACCAACCAACATGTACATGTATAATCCACACATACTACCGAGACCAACGGTATGTATAGATGTACGCATGCACGTACACGCACACAAGTACGCACTCTCGCATACACATACATTTATACATACAGAAGGTGTGCTATACCTTAATTGCATAGCTCATGTGCATCTTTGTTCTGAAGGTACGTACAGATGTAAACGTATACTGCATAGGTAGACAATAATAAGACGAGATACCTCTTTTTGCCAATTCGAAGTTAAAATGCAAATGACATTAGTGATCAGAGGCGCAAATATTACCAGAAACAAATAAGGGTACAAACATCGGCAGGGCTTTCCGTCTCAACGTGATTATATATCAAAATACAGAATAAAATATACGATGGTATATGTATAAGAGGCAAATATAGCTGTCTATATAAATTTATGGCAAACAATCACACGTATATATTTATTTCGAGAAATGTATACATATCTGCACAGTGTATAGATAAAAACTTCGCTTGTATAATTTATATAGTAGTGTAATTGTGGATTTCTACATGTATAAAAAAAGTGTGGTAGCGTGTACTGGAATTAACCCATTCACATGTCAAAAATAGCTAAGTACAAGGGGTATGACGATACTAACGGCCAGATAAATAATATTTGGACTATGAGAATGGCCTGCATAGTTTAACTACACTCTAGATTGATAAATAACATGAATATTTACGGAAAAAGCATACAGCACTCGAAATTCAGCAAAGCTGCGACTACTTCCTACCAAAAATAAACCCTTGTACGTACAGAGGTATAGTTGATATAATTGTATTAAAATGTGGGTGTGCATACATATATCACACAAACACAAGCACACAAACACACGATCTTCCACACACAAAATATTATATATATATATATATATATATATATATAATGTTTATATGTATATATATATATTAATATTCATATATATACGTATATATAATAATAATGTACAATAT